TTGGCATAAGATTCTGTAGTTCAAAATGTCTCTGTGGGACAAGATGTGTTGATCAAGGTAAAATCCCAAATTAAGGAAACTTAAAGGAGAATGAATCTCATATTAATTTGTCTCTCAGAAAGATCAGAATACTCAGTAATTCTATAAGCCAAACATTTCAAATTACTAATGAATCTTATTCATTAGCTGACAAATTATATAAGAAAATACAAGTTATTTGAACCCAAATGCAGAGAATAAATACTTTATTAACTGATTACAGTTGAAAGTCACAAACAAAAAAGGAGTATATTAAGGCAGAGCCATATATATATATATGTATAGACAAATCCAAAGACTGTTACCTCTTTACATTTTCATAACCTCTGCATTTTTCTTTTACACATTTAGGCAGTGTGCTTTCTTTCCTTCTCAGTTTCAGAACATACCTTGGCCAATATCTCAATCATATTTTGATGACAACTTATAGGATCACTGATTTGAGTGATGACTAGTGTATCAAATGCTATCTGTTTTCTCAGCATATCCCAGGTATTGGTACATTTATGTGATGTGCAAAATCTGACAATTTTCTTTTTCAGCAAAACACACAAATTTTTAAAAATGATTTTAAATTGTCTTAACTAAAACAAGTTTGGACTTCCAAGTCAGTTAAATGTCCAAATTGCATATTGTCTGCCCTTCTCTAAACCCTCCTATATAATAATTTAGCCTTTAAAATAAGATCACATGGTTGTATTTCAGATTTATAAATTTTGAGATTTTCAAAATCCAAAATTACTTCCCTATGCAAAAATGGCAATGCAAAACAGCAATTCTACGTAATGTAGAATATTTTTTTTCTTCTGTATAGCTCCTTTTATAAAAATGGGCAGCCACAAAGAAAAAAAAAAAAGACATAAATTTAATCCATCTGTAAAAGCACTCCAGCTCCCTAATTCCACCTTTGAAGGAAAAGGCAGAGGCAAGTTTACATTATCCCAGAAAACTGAATAAATGGCTTTATTTGGTATCTTCAAGAAGCTTCTCCTTCCGTAGGAGATGTAGGTGTTGGAGGAGAAACTGAAACTGGTTTCCGGGTAATTCTGTCTAGTTCTGCATGAACATCTGACAGGACAGGCTTCTGGCCTACATTGAAGGAAAAGGAAAGAAATAAGATTTAGATACAGTTAAAGTATCCACACCAATGTCTCTTCACTTAAAATTGCCAACTCCTTCACTAATTTTATCAAACATGCTGAAGTTAAACATCCTTAATTTAAAAATAAATTATCTCATTTTAAATTGTGAGATCTGTTACTAAATGGAGGTAAAACTGGCACCTATGATTTAATCTCATAAAAATATTAGGACAAAAAGAATAAAAGCAAAAAATAAGAAAGTTATGCAGTCAGAAAGTACAAACTTAAAACAATAATAAAACAGCAACAAAATTTTGGAATCTGGAAGCAAGACAAATGAATTGTAACTATAAATGAACAATAACAAATGCTGAAGAGGGTATGAGAAACTGGAATCCTCATAACCTTCTGATGGGAGTGTAAAATGATGCAGCATTTTGAAAAACTTCATGGCAGGCCTTAAAAATTTTAAACAGAGTTGCTGCACCCACTGGCACTTGCCTGTAATTCCAGCAACTTGGGAGGCTGAGGCAGAAGGATTCCAAGTTTGAGACCAGCCTTAGCAACTTAGCAAGACTGTCTCAAAATAAAAGGGCTGGGGATATAACTCGGGGTAGAGAGCCCCTGGTTCAATCCCTAGTACCACAAAACAAAACAACAGAGTTACCATGTAACCTAGAATTCATAAGTATTTACCTAAGAGAA